TATTCTTCTTATTTAAATCAATCAGTTGTTTGTATTTAGATATTAAATACTATTTCATCTGCTGAGATTCAATGTTGTAAAGTAATAAAATATAAAAGAAGACCCTCTGTGGAGGGTGAATACTTTCCATAGGTGACAAAACAATTTGACCACGAGGTCTATCAATAGCTGTCTCAACTTTTTATAGGCACTTGTGTATCACTTGATCTGTCTTGACCTACATAGTCTATGGACAGTAGGTAGTAAACCCCTGCTCAAAGGCCCACTATAGTTATATTTAGATTAATTAAAACACCGACAGCCTGCATTTAACACTCAGAAGGTCAAATAACATTTGTTTTTTGTTGACTTAAGGGGAACTTTAGCAATTTCTCGGTGCATTTCCATAAAGTTGAGAGACTCATAAGAGACAGATTTTTTATTTTTTATTTTTTTAATGGTCTAAAATAGTTGCAGCACAGGCTGAGAATCTTGACTTTTAGCCCTAGTATGAGCCAAGCTCCAAAAATGCTGGAACCTACACTTCCAATAATGCAACTCAATAGCATCTTTCACAGACCCCGTCTGCCAGATAAATGCCCACATCTTTCAAACTCCATACTCCCAGTTTGTCAGGCAGGATTTCGGTCATGGATTTATGGTATGCAAGCCCAGTTGGAGATGACCCTCGTCCGGGGTTTCTGTGGACTTTAGAAAGCTCCCTCCAGAGCCAAGACAAGACAACGTACAACCCTTGTCCCGGGCTGTGTAGCTCTGCTGCTTATGATGTGTAAACAGAGCTCCGTGTGTAAAATCACTGGAGTACTCAGGCCCTTTAAGCAGCATAGTTGCCATTACCAAATGAAAAAGCAGCTAAGCCGACTGGCATTCCACCTCATCTTCTAAATGTTTATGTGACACTCTAACTGTGCTGATATTTTATTGCATGTTTTAGAGGCTTACAGAGAAAACTGTATGGAAAACACTGGTGGATAAACTGCCCTCTGCACTGTGAAGGCTTAACGAGGATTCTTGTCTTCGACTCGAGATTTCATACACAACTGAATCTCGTGTCCATCTGGAACTTAAACCTCTTTATTTCTGCAGAATTTCACCAGCCACAGTCGGTCGCTACAAAACTCTTGTTTTGCACTGACCGCAAAGACAGTCCCCCCTCCTCGGCACTAGGTGGCAGACTTGGTGCTCCTCAGACATTGTAAGGACGGGAGGCAAAGCTTTGATGTGAGATCTTGTCCAGAGTGTAAGGAAAGACTCTGATAACCTGACAGGGGCTGATAATGTATACAAGCCTTGTATCTTCTTCTGTCTCTGCTCTCTCCAAACGGACTGTGCTGCAGAGGCCAGAACATTTCAGTGACACTTTACTGAGCTGCCTCTTCAAGATCATACTGAGAAATGACTGTTTCACACACAAAATAACATGAATGAGTTATTGACGTTTGGATAATGTCATGTAGGTAACATCTAGTTTGTTCCACTGCTGTATGAAGACAAACATCAGTGTTTGTTGTTTATGGATCTCAAAGGTCAAAGGTTAGAAATAGACTTTCAATTTCTAAACTTCATCAAAGGCAACAATTTTCCATTTTAGTGCAGAGGGTCAATAACCTGGAATAAGACATGAGTGTGTAAGACGCTATAAACAAAAAGGAGGGTGTTTTTTGACAAATTAAAAGTCTTATTTTCCCAAGGAAGGTATTTTAATATTTCCTTAATAACCTCGATAACATCTAGAAGTTGACATGAACCTTTGGCTGTTTTAAATCAGGCCCCTGTGGCCAGTGTTTCTAAATGAAGAATAAAATAACCTCCATGACGAGCAGCAGCAGCAGCAGCAGCGGCACATACACACAGGTCCACAGGCACACGTACATGCATTATTCCCCAGTCGCCCTTATAAAGCCTGAGCGTGTTCCTTCAGGGCACTTTTATGTTGAGAGCAAAAAAAAAATCCCCAATAGCTGTGACCTTTAGGCCAAAATGAAGGTTTTCGCTTCCTGTTGGAGCGTTCAGGTTAGAATACATTTAGTCTCTCTCGCCACCTCTGGGCTTTAATTTTTCTCATTATAATAGATATAAAAATGTGCATCTGAATGTGGCCCCACACACAGAGGGGGGGGGGGGCAGTGATTTTAAAGAGCCTGGCTTGTGTGTAATTCACCTCTGAATTACATCAGCTGCGCTTTTAGTTTATTTCCTAAAATCCAACAGAGGGCAGAAATATTGCTCTGAAAATTGATCCAGTAATTTAATGTGGAAAATCTGAAAGTTATTCATCTACTGATAATGATACTACTACTACTAATAATAATAATAATAAGTAATACACCGAATTTTCAGAGTAAAAGTGGTTTGATGTGTCATATATCCTTCAATTTAAAATTTCAACATAAAAGAAAAAGATGAACCTTAAAGCAACATTATATTAATGCTGTTGAGATAAAAAGTGTTACAGTGGCGCCACATGAGAATATAAAGTACAATTCATTAGTTGTAAAGTCAGTATATATGTCTGACAGAGAGATACTCGTTTTAATGAATAAGTGGTTACAGTTTAATCAGGAGGTTTAACGCTCAGGACTTAACCCGTCTGTCCACTGACTTTTATTTAAAGCTCCATCCACTATGTTGTTCCTGCTGCCACTTCACAGCGGCTCCATAATAAAAGGCCTGCTTGACTTTTCAACCCTCACGATTCCAGCCGATTACTTCTATTGTGAGCGCCAGGCTGCTCTGCCTCTATGCGCACCAAAAAAAAAAAAAAAAACACACACAAGAAAAGGAACAGGCCTAACAAGCTCTTTGGTTCAACTCTCACATTTACATATTCAGTCTGTTTTTAAATATATTTTCAAGCGTAATTCCATTTGTTTCCGGTGCGTTTTCTTTAAGCAACTCGTGTCAACAAAATGGTTTTAATACCGTGTGGATCTGCCTTCCAAAAATCATTATCATTATAATTATTAAATAAATGTATATACTATATACAATTAATGTAATTTTTTATTCTGTTTTTAAAAATACGTTTTAATGTCTTGGGGCTGAAAATTTAAATTGCTTGATTTATATTCTCGAATAACAACAACAGCTTCAGTTAATGAATAATTAACTATTTCAAATTAATAAATAGGTTATTTATTATTACAGGTCTATAAACACAGAATAAACTGACCTCAGTCCGCAGCGGGACACTGATTTGTTGCGATATTTGCGCAAAAAAAGATTAAAATAAAAAAAATGTAAATTACAAACCGGTTTCTATTAAACACCAGTGATCATCAGTCTTAATTGTTTTTAGGGTAAATAACATTTTAGCACTAAAATAACTATAACACCATCCTCCCCTCCCTCAGATACACACACACACACTTTTACACACACACACACACTCACACACACTCACACCAAGCTCTTGATCCCGTTACAAAACTGTTGCAAATGGTCAGCCAGCAGCAGCAGCACGTCGCATTTCCACTGCCTCCCATTGAGGTTTATTCATTAGGCTCCTCACACTAACCCATTTGCTATTCATGGCAGATTTCTCTCTCTCTCTCTCTCTCTCTCTCCAAACAAACCCGAGTCAGGAGTGGCAGATGCGTGCCATTATTGCCCACGGCTGGGTGGAAGCTGTTTTATGTTAAGGCAAAGGCGGGTTAACCTAATCAATCATGTCGACTAGTTGTGTTAAAGACGATTCATAGAAAAAAAAAAAAAAAAAAAGGAGCAAGAAAACATATGGCGCAGGGGCGGAGGCAAAGCTTCTCCTAACACCGCAGCCAGACCGGGACCTTCTTGTGACAAGATGTATTCAAAGCCGGGCGAAAGAATGGGAATAAAGGCGGTGGACGGCTGCTAATTGAAGTCATGGCACTTGAGGGCTGAAAGCAGAGGTCAATTATTCAAAAGCGCCCATTTTTACCAAGCAGGGCAGATTTTTAGGGTGAATATTTCATGTATTTCCTTAATCTCTAAGGACAAATCTATATCTTATTATATTCTTATAATAATCCTATAGATCATTAATGTGACTATTTAATCATCCAGCATTCCCATAGAGCGCCCGTGGTGCTCAGGATTGATGTTACAGGTCACCTTACACCTCTTCTAATATTCCTTTAGGGATTTAAGAGCACATGTGGCTTTCTATGTTTTGTTTTGTTTTGTTTTTTTTACTTTAAAATATATTAACTTCCCTTTAAAATCACATTTCTTATGGTCTAATCATAATGTTCCTATAAGGACACATTTCTGCGTCATCCCTCAGATTTTTAATTTTCCAACTCCTTCTAATAACTTTATGAACCATCACAAATCCAACCGCGCAGGAAGCTTCTTGAAATATCATATAACCTTTATTTACATAGATGCTGATTAAATAGAATGTTACAATAAAATTATCGCATAGGATGTTTGATCTATATACAGAACTCAGAGCGTGTGAAAGTTTTGCAGTCGGTACTAATAGTGATGCCTCCTCTGCGCTGCGAACAGGCCTGCATGCTTTGCAGAAACACGTTTCGCTCAGGACAAAAAAAAAAAAAAGTATTACAACTTAAGATGGGATGGACTGTGCATGGAAAAAAAACAAAGGGGTGGAGGGGGTTAATTTAAATATTTGGCAGATCCGATTCCTTAAACAGAAGAATGCGAATAAATTGCAAACAAAAAAATAAAATAATAATAATTGCACAACTTTCCACACACACCCCTCAAAAAAAAAAGAAGGTGAAATATTAAAATGTTTACACAATTTTCAGTCTTCCTGTACCATAACAGTTAGGTAGTTCTGTCTGAAAGATATTCCTCAGATATTGTGGTGAGACTTAAAGACAGACCTGGAAGGTTTTAACAGTCCGATTAATAAATTAAAATGAAGGAGGAAAAAAAAAAGGAGGAGGAGGAGAAAAAAAAACTTTCCTGAAATGTTTATATATGTGTATATTCTCCTTTTTGTCAATATCCGTGCAAAAGTTTGGGAAGAAAAAATGCCCCCTTTTTTTTTAATATTCTTTTTTTGTTGTTGCTTATGAAAATCACAGGCCCCCTGACTGTCAATCGTCCACCTCGATTTCCTCGTCGTCCTCCGAGAACTCATCCGTGGTTTGGTCTCTGGATGAGGAGGGGGACTGTGGGAAGGCCCGGTGTCCTTGCGAGGTCGGGGAGATACTGGGCGATCTGGCCTCGGGCCCCCCACCCTGGGCATCGTCAATGTTTTCCATGCTGACGAGCTTCTGCAGGGTCTGTGGGGTGATTTTCTTTAGCGACTCCACGTCCGCTTTCATCTCCTCCAGGTCCCGCTTGAGTTTGGCCCTGCGGTTCTGGAACCAGGTGATGACCTGCGCGTTGGAGAGCCCCAGCTGCTGCGCGATCTGGTCTCGGTCGGCCGGAGAAAGGTACTTCTGGTACAGAAACCTCTTCTCCAGCTCGTAGATCTGGTGATTCGTGAAGGCCGTCCGCGACTTTCTCCTCTTTTTCGACGTCTGCCTCTGTCCGAAGGCGTTTAGATGCTCGCGACCTTGGGAGGGTTGGGAGAGGAAAACACAGAGGAATGAAACAGCCGCAAGGGCCACGTCCGCCCACCCCACCACCCCCCCCACCACACCACCACAACCACATGCACATACACACACAAACTACAGCAGCAACAGAGGGCACTGCAGAACACAACAGGCCTGTCCTCGGTTCACAGGCTCGGCTCTGTCTTTTTCCTTAAAACAAAACGTTCAATTTCTCCCACTCGATTTAAACAGCAACTTTTAAGAAGTTGGCCGGGTCGGGAGCTCCTGCTGGATCCAGCTGAGCTCATAATTCATCCCACTGCTGAGTTTTCTACCATATTATTAATTAAACAAGAAAGGAACCAAACATTTGGATTGTTAGCTCCATTAGTTTTGCAATGGATCACAAATACACAATATCCATGTGTCATTTAAGTTGATCTGCCCGTTTGTATTCAGCATGACACTACAGGCAGTTGGCCATAATGGCTGATTGACTCTTTGACAGCATGTGAGCTGCTGTAGTAGCCAGTATATTAGCCAGTTTTAGCAGTTTATAGATCACATGCATGGACATTTCAGTGTGTAAATGTCGTATTAGTATGCATTAGTTTGTGTTTTGTACACATTCCCATAGAGCTGTCCTTAACGTGTCCACACTAAAAGTCAAAACAAACCCAGCTGTCTGTGATTTCAGCTGAGAGTCTGATCACTGTTTTAAAGTTAAACTGTCCCTCCGGAAATTTAGATTTGACCTACAAATACAAAAAAGCCAGTCTTTACCTTCCGCTGCCTGGATAACGCTGACTTCCAGACCCTTAAACGTTTTGCTGGCCAACTCCTCCAGCGCGCACAGCGGCGAGGAGGGAGTGGTGATCCCGTTCCTCGCCGAGTTAGAGCCCGTGACTTTCTCCAGCACTCTCGGCGGACAGATACTGGCCACCGTCTTCTTCACCGAGGGTTTGTTAAGGATATCCTCAATGCTGAACGGCGTTAAAGGCTTGTTGGAGTTGGCCGGCGGCGGCAGCTGGTCCAAGGGAGCCCGTCTCCTCTCCTCGCCGCCGGACTGCAACACAGAACCTGCCTTCATGTCTTTACTGGAGGTCATCGCAGTCCCGAAGAATCGCTGCTTCCACGAAAGTTGATTATTTCATTCAAATGGTCGTTTAAAGCGTCCACAAGTGTTTCCTCTGGTGCTCGGCGCCTTCGGAGTCCTCCTCTATTTTTTGACACTTTAAAGCCGAATGTCGCAACTTAGTTCGCCTGAGAGCTTTCCTCCAAAATAACCATGCTTCGGGCGTAGTTGCAAAGGCAGCCGGACTGTATTCCCCTCAGAGATTCGCAGGTCCTCTGCCAAGCTCCATGTAGATCTTTAGGAAGTAACAGACTGGAGGGGGGTGAATCCCTGCAAGGGGAAAAAAAGCTGTCTCAAGCAGCAAGAAAAAGAAAGCGACTGCTAACGAGTTATTGTTGATTGGGCGAAGTTCAATTAGAGAAACACTACACTACTTGCTGACCCGCTGCTGCGTCTTAAAGGGCCGGACCATAATAACTAATTGGACGTGGGGAATAGGAGGAGTCTGTTGCTGCCGAGGAGAAAGATGCCCCGAAATGTTTATGCATCTGTTTCCCTCTGCTGGTCTGTTCCTCTAGAAAGGGAGAGTTGATGGCCATTAAAATACTGCCGCCAGCATCTTTGCATTATGGGAAAGTTGTGAGGAGAACACCGAGCCAACAATGGTCTCCAGCAGTGATTCCCATTTTGGTGCGTAATTACGCATAGAGCGTTATGCGTAATGTGCGCAATAGACACTATGTTTGACTGGACTCTTAGAAATAGACACAATGAGAACATTTACGGACCTGATTCTGAAGACTATCAAAATATTTTCCTACAAATAAACAAACACGACAGGTGACGGATTTCTGCCATATATATACACATGCATGCATATATATACATATATGTATATATATATGTATATATATATATATATACATATATATATAAGGCTACAACTTGATTATATGCGTAGAGAATGACTTTTAAAAATCATTTCTGGAACTAAAGCAATATTTAAAATATATATATATTTTGAAAGCAGAAATCCAGAGGAAAGAACAATCTGAATTAGTTTGTGGTGCTTGTTGAGTTTTTTTGTTCACGCCGTTGTTCTTTTCTCTTCCCTTGATAAATTATCCGTGCGTCTACATGACCCTGCAGGTGAAGCCCACGAGTTACAGTGTAATTTAATGCAGGAGCGTGAAACAGGCGTCTAACAAAGGTGACGCCGAGCGGTGGCTCAGAGTCTGAGGACGGAGAGTGTGAGTTTTACTGAAAGAGGTTTAGGATGTAGAGAGAGAGAGAGAGAAAGAGAGAGAGAGAGAGAGAAACCGGGAGCGAGTCGGACACCGAGGAGAGCAGCAGGTACGTTTGTTTAGAGGAAACACAACTTGTTTTCATTTAAGACTCGTGAAATTTAACACGTTTGGCTGTTGTGGTCACTTGGGCACGCTATTCGTTTTAATGCTTTGTAGAGGTTAGACACGAGCTGAAGGCAGAACGAAATATGCAGTTTGCATCTATAAAGAAAAAAATATATATAAAGGAAGCTGATAAATATTTGTTGTATGACAACACTGTGTAAAATACCTGGGATTAAAATGTCACCACTTTGAATAATAAAACCAGCAGCAAATGGACATTTCTTTACACAAAATGGAACAAAAGCTTCTCGCGATAAATTCACCAAAATAAATATTTCAGCAGCTGAATTATAATCTACCTGCCAGCTGCTGCCAGAGGTTGAATAAAACAAACGCAGGCGGAAAAAATGCATCATTTAAAAAAAAAAAAAATACAATCAGATTATTCTGACCCATTTGGATGAAACCTGCCGCCCAGGAAGCCACTGCGGAGATTCTTGTGCCAACAGGAGCATATGGTGACATTGGTTTAGGGACAGAGTTATAAAACAGCAGGAAATTCTATTAGCCGCCTTGGAGGTCCACCCTCTGTGGCTGCTTTGAATATATATTTCTCCATAACGAGCAGGAGTTTGTGAGAGTAAATTTAGTTTGGGGATTTGGACAGGAACAAAGTGCAGGTAGCCGAGAACCCAGGCTGGTCTGAGTGCTTATTAATATCACAGTGATTCTGATTTACTTTGACGTTTTTTACACTTGAAATGAGGTTCAGAATTTAAAGGGCGCATGCAGACTGCAGCATGCCATGATTTTTTATTTTTTTTATTTTTTTGCACAAGAAATGGAATTATTAAAATATATATTTATATATATATTTTTAAAGCTTTTATTTTACAGAAATAGCAGAGTTGAGTTTAGACCAGAGCACTTTGTTCTTCTATGAGGACGTTATGAGAAAGAGGAAACCTTTCTTCTGATTTTTATTTCACTGGTTATTTTATAGATCTGATCTTGTGGAGGATAAACCTGCACTGAGCTCTGCGGACCCCCACGACCCGCGCTGCTGTAGATTATTAACCCTCAAATGTGCTTCAAGGCCCCCCCTCCCCACCCCCCCAAAACAACGGCCCTTGGTCTGAAGTGAAGCTGGTCCGAAACCTTTTATTTATTTATTTTTCTAAATTTGAACGTTAATTAGAAGCAGAGCAGCTGACATCATCAATCATCAGTTCTTGAGGGGATTTAATTGGAGGATTCGCTTCGCTTTTAGCTCCTATCAGCACCGGGCTCCTCACTCCAAAAAAAAAAAAAAAAAAGAAAAAGTAGTGCGTCTCACTGAGTCACTTTAAGAGAATATTATTAGAGGTTGTTTTGTTTTTTTTTCTTTGCGAGGATCAAGCGCATCTTCTCCAGTTCATTCTCTCTCACTTTTAAATCTCACTGCTCTCCTTTAAATAATCAGGAAGGGGCCAGACGTGCGCGGTTCGTGTCATCCTGTAAGCTCGATAAAAATCAAAGCAATGAAAATAAATAAAAAACCCGCCCACCCGGTAAAGGTCAGTCTTTCTGTCATTAATCACCAAATTAAATCACAGCGTTCCGGAGCGAATATCAGGGAATGTTTCAAGCCTCCGCCGGAGAGTCAGAGAGGGTGACGACAAATGCAACAACTGCAATAATAATCCTTAAAATGTAATTAGTTACAGCGCTGTAACGCGTTACCGCCTGTCACCGCTCTGCATGAGAGAGACACGCAGCTCTGCACAGACAAAAAAGACAGAAAAGAAAAACTATTTAATGTATTTTTTCGATTTCGATTGGTTCATGGAATAAAGCACAGAAGCTTCAAAGTTGCACGTTCTTCCGTCTATTATTTGTGTCCAAAATAAAATTCCCCTCAGGAATAAAAGCTGAGTTAAAATAATATTAAATACAAAAGTTCCACCACAGTTCAGAAATACATAACAGCAAATTATAAGGAAATAAAACACCCTCATAAGGTCACCATCACCTCACAATAGAAAGTAGAGATTGACTAAATATCTGTAGAAATATAGTAGAAATAACTCATTTTATTTGTGACACATAAATATGAATATGGTCACTATTAAATGAGAGTATCACAGATATTTTCCGCCCTTCAGATATTCGTGTGGTTATTGGTTCTGGAATGATATGATTTTTATCCCTTCAAAAATAAATGATTTATTAAATATCATTTAGGCTCATCTGTTGAGGCCGTGCAGGTTCCACTGCTGTTGTAAAGTGGCAGCTCTCACCGCGCAGCGTGTCGTCCTGTATTATGAAACAAAACAGCTGTAAACGCCTCTCAGTATAACATGATACAGGAGAAGGCTGCTCAGGGCGCTGTGGGTGTGTTTGTTTCCATTCTTAACCGGCCTGTTTCCACTGTAAAACACACTGTGTGGCTCACTCAAAGGGCTTGATGAAGGTGTGTGTGTGTGTGTGTTTGTGTGTGTTTGTGTGTGTGTTGATGAGGCACCACAGCACAAGCACGTCTGAGCCCAAATTACCTGGGCCTCCGTGTTGGACAGTGTGTTCCTCTTTTAAATTATTTTGCAGCAGCAGCAGCACCATTATCTTTTGATGAAAACGTAAATGGAGAAAACAATCTAAATAATATTATTTCAAATGATAAATGCCTATAAATAAAATTTAAAAAAAGAATAAGAATATGTGGAATTATTGAGAGACCATTTGTTAAGAATATAAAACAAAATTGATAAAGAGTAGATATACACATTTGATAGTTGTGTATTTTCCGTGCGTAATGTCGAGGGCACGGCATCCTTCACATCATCCTTCATCCGACTCATCCCACCTGCCCCGGTGTCTGTGTGTGAATCCCCGCGCGTATTATCAGCCGGATATCAAATTACTAGGGCGTCGGTGTTGACACTCGTGTCACCCGCGGAGAATGTTCTCTCCAAGCTGTCCTCGAACGCACCGTTACAGTTTGACGTCGCTCCATCGGCCTGAGACGCACAGGTGTTCATCTCCCCAGCAGCTTCACTCTCCGTTTGGAGGTGATGCGTAGTCCACGCGCTGATTTCTCATTGGCCGAGGCTTTCCATGACATCATCATCATCATCATCACCACTATCCTCATCAGCCTCAGTGTGCTCTGGTTTCAGTGGCCATCAGCTGGTGTCGGCTGGATTTGTGAGGAGATGAAGATGTTGCTCTGTGATTAGAATCAGACATTAAATCCAGCAGAGTCCTCAGAGGTGATTTACCTGCTGCAGCCAGTAGAGCAGCTCCTGCTCCTCCTGCTTTATCTGTGCGTTTTGTACAAATTATATACAACATCCATTATCCACATTATATACAACTACTATTTTCATTATCAAGCATTTAAAAGTATTTAAAGATTTTCACTAAATGAGAAAAGAAAAGCAAATGCACATTAGAGAAGGTGAAACCAGGGATTTTTTTTGTTGCCATTTTTGCTTGAAAAGTGTCTGAAACGATTATTCAAATATAAAATAAAAGTGTGGTAACCTCAGCATACTCTCATTCTAACTTCCTTTAACTATAAGACATCACAACATGAATGGCAACGACTGTCAGCATGGATCCTGCACTTGTTTTTCTTGAGTGTGGTGTTGATGGACACTTGTATTCCACAGTGTAACAGCAGAAAACTGCTGTACATTTACT